TACAAACATCCACCTTCAGCTCATGCTTCACTGCACTTTTTGTTATGAAATCTGAGATTTGTATAAAGTAAACATAAGAATAACTTTGATATTGTTAGTATAACATTTCAAGATAAACACTTAATAAACTGAAGCAACTTAGGTTTATCCAGACATCATAATGTGAATATTAAATATGATCATCAGGCTTTTGAGGAACATTTATTTGTTCATCTTTCAATCATCACTGCATTGCACTGCAATATATGCTTTAACTATAAAGCATTTGAATGTCATCTTACTAAGGCATATTATTTTGGGAGATATAGAGTGACAAATTATATTTATATGATTTTATGCAAGTAGTCCACAATCTCATTGATTTACATTACAACCTATCAGAATTATCATCTTACTTTTTTGTCTATGTAAATATCAGCATCTGCACCAAATTTCATAATTTTGCTCAGTTTTTTTTTTTGTCTAAAGGTTCAATAAACTGTTCCATTAAAAAAAATCAGAATATTATTTCATATATCAGGCTTTACAGGGTTCAAAATTAATTTAATTCAGCATCTAAGTGCCTAAAGCAGCCGTAAAACATTCAAATCAAAGACTAAGAGCACTACTCTGTATTTGTTTTAGCATCCTATTACCAGAAATGGAATCATATTGGCTGCAAAACTACAAAAAAATAAAGAGCACCTTTAACGCACAGAACATTAAAAAAGCCTTGTTGTTCACTCAACCACACAAGGCCAAATACACGCACTGAGCCCTGAACATCTGATATAAACACACAAAGACGCAAAGCTACTTAATCTAATGCACATAGCAGAAATAATATTTAAATCTAATCCTCAGAAATGCATGAAGGCAAGTGCATGGCATGCTGTGAACCTCAGAGGACCCAAAAGCAGTGAATGGAAAAATCTAGAAGGGTACAGGAGAGGAAATCAGTGAGAAAGAGAGAGACAATATAAAAAGAAAGAAAGAAAAAAACAACAACAAAGGAGATGATGCAAGATTAACAGTATTGAAGAATGGATGCATGTGGCAGTGAAATGTTGTCTGCAGAATCAAGAAATGCCAGCAAAGCCGGGCGGATGAAAGTGTGGAGAGGATGTGGAGGGTGTGAAGAGGGAGGAAGGTGTTACGTGGCTCTCGGAAGAATCGCACACAGCAAGGCCACAGATGCAGACGTCTGGTCTGACTGACTCCTGATGTTTCCATGGCACCCGCGAATGAAAAGCTCAGCACTCCCAAGATGAGCAGCAGCTCTCAAGACACACAAACCTGAACGCTTTCCTGACTCTACAACTGCAGTGAGCATTTACCCAAACAAAGAACAACACAGCGCAACTGATTCTGATTTCTGTCTGCAAACATAGCGGTCATGTCATTTTCGACGCAAAATCCGTAGTATTTTCATTGAACATGTCTAAAATAAAAATAAAAAATACAATAAAATTAAATAAACATAAATGTACTATTTTATAAATATACATATGTGTAAAAAAACATTACATATACATATTTTTATCTCCGTTTTATGATGCGAGTATAATAAAACAATGAATATATATATATATATATATATATATATATATACTTTTGATAATGCCTCTTATGCTCACAAAGGCAACATTTATTGGATAAAAAATACACTAAAAACTGTAATATTGTGAAATAATATTACAATTTAAAATAACTGCTTTCTATATGAATTTTGTTCAAATGTAACTTATTTCTGTGATCAAAGCTGTATTTTCAGCATCATTACTCCAGTCTTCAGTGTCACATGATCTTCAGAAATCATTCTAATATGCTGATTTGCTGCTCAAGAAACATTTCTCATTATTATCAATGTTGAAAGCAGTTGTGCTGCTTCATATTTTTGTAGACTTTTGATGAATGGATAGTTCGAAGGCAGTATTTGTTTGAAATATAAATATTTTTGTAACATTTTATCATTTTTGTCACTTTTGATCAGTTTAATGCAACATTGCATTCATTTTATTGTGCACTCCCCTATGTAACATGTCAATTACATGAGATATGAACATGCTAATCATTCAGTACCATAGTATCATCATTTGACACCACCACTGTACCTCTTGTTGGTGCTATTAAAATACATTTAATACATGTTAAAGTCTTTAAGACTAGACCATATGGGGCGTTATATAACGGTTCTTTTTTTTTCCTTCAGGTATCAATGACAATATCCTCTGCTTTCAAAGTCAATGCTAATGCTAATTAGCTTCATAATACGGATTGGACCGAGCAGACACAATGCAAGTGTAGCCAGACTGTGCCGTTTACTAATTGAGCTAACATGGATTAGCAACTGCGGTCATGCCGAGAGGACGATTATAAATTGCCAGGAACAAAAGCGGATCTAGCCAGAGAGATGTCACCAGAGCCCAGCAGGAACAGACAGCTAATTAGCTTGCTGACTAAACACAATCTATCAGGGCTTGACAACATTAGCAGCAACGCTAATGAACAAACTACAGCTATAAACACACCAGAGGGACGAAACTCTTAAGTGGAACTGAGATTAGCCATTATTCACAGTGAGAGCCAGGGGCACACAAGAGCAATGACTCCGACAGAGGTAAACTTCCCACATTCCACTGCCGTGACAGAATCATGATGCTTTTCCTGGATGATTCCTTGAGGAAAAAGACATTTATTTAGCATGAGGTGGTCCGAAACTGGTGAGTCGAACTGAAAAATCATTACAAACACTGACCATCGCTGTTAGTCACACAGACTCACTGTCAATTTGGCATCAGATGAAGGGAAATTATAGGAAGAGGTAATGATTAGTGATGCACCATAACTAAAGTTTCCATTTAGCTGAAAACCAAAACCGAAAAAAAATTATTTAATAATCAACAGTCAAAAAAACCCCAAGTTGTATATAAGCTTCTAAAATGCACATAAGGCACTTTTTAATTATATAATTATGCTTTCTACAACAATCTATAAACATTTAAATGGCGTCTGTAATAAAAGACAACAGGCTAATTACATATATAATGAATATGTAATGTAGTGCAAATATTAGCAAAATGCTTTCTCTTATTTCTTCTAGCTAACTACCGAGTTAATGGACAATGAATGGCTTACCTGGGGTAAATGTATACAGTTATGTGGCGTATTGTTTACAAGCTGTTTTACTGGCATCTTTGAAATGCATTCTTTCATGACACATTAAAGAACATCAAAACTGCACTTATTGTTTGAATTTTATTATAATATTGAATGAATTTGAGAACCCAGACGGTGTTTCATATCAAAAGTAGCAAAGCATAAAGCCTATTGCGACTATTGGATAACAGGCGCACTAATGCTTAGTGAAGTTTTGTTCTGAACTGAAAGATCTTGGTTCATCAAAATGAGGATCGATTGAAATCGCAAAATCATTTCAGTCAATGATTTCAGCAAAACTCAAATTAATTTCCAGTCAAATAGTTTTGATTGTTGTAATTTTAATGCATCACTAGATATATAAGTGCAATAGCAGACTCAACATTCCTGGCCATTCCCAAGCTTCGTGAAATGAAATCAATACACATCCAGATGTGATAACCACTAGGGTTGGGCCGATAGACGATGTCATCGTCCATCGCCAATGGCTGATAGACATCACGATGTTGAGCCGGCATCGCGATCCCCATCCCCCCTCCCCCTCCCAACCCTAAAGGGAATAAATAAGCGATGGGAGGAAAATATATATTTCAGTATTTTCTCTCGCAGTTATATCATTGGGCAATTATACTGTATATAAATTGCGGGCATCAGGGAGCCGCTATTATGCCTGGCACTGAAACTGCTTTTGAATGCGCGATCGCTTTTTAGTTTCACTTTCACTTTCGAGATTCGCAATCGCGCGTACTTGGTTTCTACTATGGAGCGGCAGTACTTACCACACATTTTACAAGATTATATGTTTGTCAGTGGTGCTCAGGATCTGCAAATTATTCGCCATCATCCTCAGTCATCTCCCCTTACTCTGTTTATGTGGTAAGTGAAATTTTATGTACTGTAATGTAACAGTCAACCGTTAACAATTGTTATTTGTTTTCCGTTTGTTTTTCCGTACCTTTCTAAATAAGGATTCACGCTTCGGGCACACCCCATCAACCCCC